TATGCAACCTGACAGTATTCTTCCCACGCAGTACAATGATCCCTTCATCAAACAATTTCTTGATGCTCTGACCGTCGCAGAGGATAATAAACGGCCCCCTATCTGTTGCATCGAGCAGGGTGGGTAGGGGTGTGGATGCTACTGCTCAGGCCTTCCCGTCTTCTTATACCCCTTCTTGCTCTTCTTCATCCTTATTGTCCCGCTCCAACTTTACTTTTATCCCCCCATTTTCAATCCCCCAATTCTTGGCCCTCCCCCAGCTTCCTACCATAGTCGCTTGTCTTCCAGTTTCAAATCACACACAATCGCAGGGCCTCGCTCCAATCCAGTCGACAAGTCCATGTTCAACCAAGCGGACAACGTCAGTTCATCCGTTTCCCTTTGAAGTCCTCGCGTTTCGCTAAGACTGACATGCCTCAACGTGCGCACTTGCTACAGGTTGGCCAACAGGCAGCAGTTGCCCGCACACTAGAGACCCTATCGATCGATATTTGCTGTTTATCAGAAACCCGCCTTCAAGATTTGAGCTCCATGCTTACCCTGGGACTCCCCACATGCGACACTAGCAGCACAATCTCATTGCGCCTGTCTGGCGATGATGCAGCTTCAAATGCCGGTCAAGCTGGCGTCGGCATTGTTTTGAGTCCCCGGGCTGAAGCTGCCCTGATCGATTGGATACAAGTCAACAGTCGGACGTGAGCCGTTATATTAGCTGGTTCGTTCCATGCTACGAAGTCGCGCGGGGACAAACGGTGCCTGTTTGTCATTGCTGCCTACGCCCCTACAAACTGTAGCACTGATTCGGTAAAAGATGATTTCTATCAGCAACTTCACGATCTCCTTCGTTACAGAAGAAGCACGGATACTGTGGTGTTGGCTGGCGATCTAAACCCCCAAGTCGGAAAATTGTCCTCTGATGAGCTTCATCTGAGCGGCCAACATGGTGTAAGCACCCGTAATGATAATGGTGAGCGATTGCTACAGCTGTGTGAAGATGCCCGTCTCTTTATCGCGAGCACAAACTTTCGACACAGCACCCGCAGAAGCGTGACTTGGCGGCCACCAGCCTCGGGTCAGTCATGGACGCAAATCGATCATATCGCAATCAGTTATCGCTGGAGAGGCTGTGTCCAATCTGTCGATCGATTTGGAGCACGAGTGTAGACTGACCACGCACATGTCTGTGCCGACCTCCTGGTGCGTTTCGGTGGACGTCCGCAACGTCCAACTGAACTGGTTGACACATGCCAGCTTGAGAAGCAAGGTGTTCTGAATGTGTATCAAAGTGCGCGGACATCCGGGCTTAGTAAGTGCCCACTGAAACCCATCGAAGATCACCAGTAGCATAATCGTCAAATGTTACTATCAGCAGGCATGTATTAATGTGGCAAATCAAATTGTCAAACTGGACATTGGGTCTCTACACGGTCTCTGGAACTTAAGGATGCTCGCAGACGTATTCCGGCTGGAAGCGAATACAATGAGGCTCGTAAAAATCTCTGGGCAAAACTACGTGCTAGCCTGAAGAAAGACCGCGAAACCTCGTGGTCTCATCGTGTCTCTGAGATGAAAACAGCCGCTACCTTTGGCAATCATCGTAAGTTATTCCGTCTGATACGGGAAACAGGCAGCAGGAGACCTTTTGTTAGCGAGACCATACGCGACGAGAGTGGGCAGACGATCCACAGCCTGTCAAAACGCTTAGAGCGTTGGGCTGAACACTTTGCAAGGCAATTTAACCAAACTGATTTATCGCTTTCTTCTTCGGGCATTGCGTGCCCTTCTCCCTGGGCCGTCTCATTGGATCCGCCTTCACGCACAGAAGTCGAACGTGAGATCAGGCTGTTGAAATCGCTTAAGGCCGCAAGGGCAGATAGAATTCCCCTAGCCCTCTTCAAATTCGTGGGACCTGCTCTAATAGATGATTTGCACGAGTTGCTAATGAAACTTTGGGAGCAGGAGACTGTCCCGACAGACTGGAACCGCTCCTTCATTGTGCCAATTTTCAAGGCTCCCGTTCGGAATGCGGCAATCATACAAAGATCAGTTTGATTTCGATTGCCTCTAAATTGCTTGCCTCTGTCATTCTCCACACTGACTGGCACTCGTGAAAGCCAAATTCGTGAAGAACACGCCGCATTTCGTCAAAATCGAGACTGCATCGACCACATTTTCACCTTGCGTCAATTGTTGGAGCGTCACCATGTTTATTGGTAACCTACAGTTGTCGTGTTTCTTTGACATAAGAGGTGCCTTCGATTCGGTTAATCGATGTGCCCTTTGGGACTGTCTGCTGAGGAAAGGTGTGTCTGATAAATATGTAAACATTATCAAAGCGCTGTACGTGCATAGTTGGGGCCGAGGGAGGGTTTATGGCAAACTGTCGCCACCGTTCAGTATCACCAGCGGTGTGAGACAAGGTTGCCCGCTGTCACCTTTCCTCTTCAACTTCGCTATTGATGAAGTCATGGAACCAGCGTTCGCTGGATACGACCCAGAAGGTGTGGAGCTACTTCCTGGTGAGTGACTTCTTGATTTAGAGTATGCGGACGGTATTGCCCTAATCTGTGACACCTCCCAAACATGTCAAGCAGTACTGAACCGATTAGCACTGGTTGTCAATCGTTTTGGGCTATGTTTTGCTCCATCGAAATGCAAAGTACTTCTCCAAGATTGTCGGGGACCCAACCCTGCGCTAACGCTTGGTGGTGATCTGCTAGAAGTCGTTCAGGAATTCAAGTATCTTGGCAGCTATATTAGCACCCGCGTGATTGAAGATGAGGTTACAAACCGTATAGCAAAATCTCGAGGTGTTTTGCCAATCTCCGCTACCTGTGGCGCAGACGCGACATTACTCTCGCCCTGAAGGTCAGAGTTTATAACGCAGCCGTCCGTTCAACTATCCTATATGGTTGTGAAATCTGGCCCATCAGGTCGACAGACATAAAGTGGCTCGTCATATTCGATCATCACTGCCTTCGCAGCTTAGCTCATATCAGGTGGGAGCACCGCGTGAGCAATGAGCGTGTTCGGCGTCGCGTATTTGGTGCAGGAAGAGCGAGTGAACCACTCAGCACCATTATATCACGCACCAGGCTCCGATGGTTGGCCCACGTGTTGCGCATGTCAGCACACCGACTTCCGCGATGTGCATTGTTTGCGTGTTGTGGGTGCGGTTGTAAGAGGAGGAGGGGAGGCCAGGCGATGACTTTGTCGGGAGAGATGAAAACCCTCACTTCGAATTTGGCGTCGGTTGGTGCATCCAGACTGCCTGGCTGGGGTCCTAAGGACGTTGAACACGTTTGGTTGGACACACTTGCTGATATGGCTTGGAGGCGACCCCAATGGCGTTTGTGTTGTGAGTTCCTTTGTCCATCCCCGTCTAATCACGATCTCACTCGTTAGGCATAAGATGACTCTCTTTTTATGGCACGATAGGCAACTGTTAGCTCTTCGGAACGATGTCCATCCGGGGACTTAGCCGGCGCGCCACTGTTTGTTTTCCTTTTCTTGTCTTTTGTATTGCGGCACAATAGCTGGTGTTTTCCACCTATAGCTAACGTGTGTAATGATGATGATGATGCATGAGATTCGGTGGTTTTAGCTTCTATGACAACGGACCCACGCCAAGATTATCCACTGTATGCGGGTGCAGCTTCTTGGTCCACTTTTTCTTGGTTGCAGACGTTGAGCACTTCCGAAAAAACTGGGCAGTGTGGCGTAATAATGGGTTGCTGATGAAAATGGAACATTGTGTATTGTGTTGTCAGCTCGAAGTGGCAGAATGTCACGTAGCGTTAGTAACTATAGAAGGAGAGGTGGAAAAAGCGAGGAGATTAACCAACACCTATGTAGTATCCAAAAACCTTGTGCAGTAGCGAGCTTACTGTTTCGCATTTACTCGCCACCGGTGCAGCATGACAGTGGCATTTGAAGAGGAGCAACGTGGTTATTCGTTGGCCGAGGTGCTATCAAGCTGTCCAAACACTTGTGTCGGCCGGTAGCCGAGTGTTATGCGCGTCTGGTTTGCAACCATAAGGTCACCGATTCAAATCCGCGTTATGGGCGGGCGTCGTCGCGGTATACTCAGCCCACGTGCGACTAGTGGTGGTCGCGTGGCAGCGAAGCGCCGTTACGGCGTACAGCTGACGATTTACTTACTTACCATACACGTGTAGGAAAGGTATTGCGATTCCTTCGGATGGAAAGTGGAAACGTGAATAGTCCGCACGATGGGTAAACTACGGTCTATGCATCCACGTAGCGGTCACGTGTTTACATTGACGGTATATCTTGCTTTTGACCGGCCAGGCGTCTGCGATCTTCACGTTGCAAGACTCCACTTGCTTTGGTTTACTTCGTTGGAGCGACGCGCAACCTGACACTTCACGTTCCGTTTCATTTTCCATGCAGTTGCTGCTGTCACCTTATCTCACTATTTCAGCATTTGGCTTGTGGTAATGCCCACCCACTTTGGGATCTTACTTTTCGAAGTTATTTCTTGTCCATCCTCATTCGCTTACTTTCTGACCTTTCCTAGTATCTTTATTCTGTTCGTTGTTACTTGACCTGCTGTCTTCTTTCGTTTAATTTGTCAATCGGCAGTAGCTTTCTTTGTCGCTTCGCCTATCCGAATGAGCAGTCACCTGATGTACGGCCAAATTTGTCCCTCTCCACTGTAATAACAGCACACTGACATTATAAACTTGGGGCAGATCCCTTGTGGTTTCCGATACAAATTCTTCCGTATTAGCGGTTGCCTGTATTCCTTTTGGTTGATTATTTTCTTCTAGCCCTACCTCCCACCATCGCAACTCCAATCAGCACTTTGGTCGGCCCCGCATCCTCCCCAAATTGAACATAAACAATCTAACCAAGCTTTTCATCATTTTCTTCTTGCATCTTCACCACGACGCACGTTCATAGTACAGTACTTTTTTCACCTTTACCTTCAATACTTCCGGTATTAAACCCCTCGTTTTTCCTTTTTTCACGCCAAGTGACAGAGTTCCTGAAACGATCAAGGATACCCGGCGATGTACAGTCCTCGACTTTTGACATCCGTCAAAGCACTCGAGGGACCCCTACCGCGCGCTCGTGTGTCACTTCAACTTACCCCGCCAAACGTGCTCGGGTTGAGGATAGAGTTAATTTCACTGCCGGTCTGTCCTCACGTGTTGCCGCTGTGTCGGTGGGTTTTTTTATAGTCCTATGTAACCAGGAGTGACTATATGTTAATTTCTTTTTCATCGTCGTTACGCTCTTGAGCCGTATGATGAATTTCCATGTGGTTGTCTTTCAGTTTTTCAATTCGTTTTTAATGCGATTTATATTAGAGAGATGCGAGTCATTTTTATAGTGAAATCGAGTTCATTATGCTTAATTTGTACTCCCTCCGCCTAGCCTGCTCTTATTATGACACACAATCTTCCTTCATGCCGCTTGTCTTCCCTTGTTCCTCAGAGAGTACTCTCATCAATACCTCAGTTGCATGCGTTCCAGGGAGGATTCTGTTGCCACTTTAGCAGCGGGTCACCGAATTTTGACACAGCGCCTTAATTAGTCGCTATAACTTCGGAAAATCAACCCCGATGCTAAAACTGATCTAGGTCCTATCCTTAATGGATCTGGACAATCGATCATCACCTGTCATGTTTTGATCAACGGACTATGTACCTGTACTTAATTTCCACTCATTCGTCAAACATGTGCCGTCAGCTCAACCTCCTGTACCGGTCTACTGTGTAACAACTCTGTCGACTTCTGACGCATTGACTTCGCAACTGTCAGCTCTGGATGAATCTAACTTCAACATTAAAGACAAAAGAGACGACTAGACTCTATCATATGGATAATAGAAAATGGGGAAGAATGACCTGTAGCTAGTTTAGCTATTTTATCTATCATCCTTTAACTTACTGGATGGGCTGTTTCGGGTTTGTGTCTACTCACAGTTATCCATTACCGAATAATAGATCGAAAAACGTCATACAAGGTTTATCAAACCATAGCCACCACCTTCAGCTTTTCCGTATGCATCAGCTCTAAATACGTTTCCTCCGATCGAATTGAATCGTCCTCAATTAGGTTTGTCCATCACAGTCTATTCATACAACTTCAAAATGAGCCATCAACCCTTGTGACAAGCGTTACTCGGCATGTGGTGCCAACGACACAAGACGTGAAATCAACGATCTCATATGCTGTCTCTGCATGAGTGCCTGACCATCACGCGGCCCCTTTCGGACGTGCCCTGTACGAGCGAACAAGTCGCGATAGGGCGAACGCTGGAATTGCAAACGCAAGACATGAGGGACCCATCTTAACTGGCTCAGCTAAATCAGTTTCTTGAAACGAATACTCGCATCTAAGTCAGGAGATCTAACTACACCAAGGTAAATACGCTGTTGCCACCACACACGAGCAATTCTCCTCGAACGTCCATTGTCGAAGACGGAGAGCCGGCGCATGTTATCCAAGCGAACTGGCCACGACTAGCATCTATATGGCAACACCGCACGAACGGTGATGTTGTATATACGATTTCCTATTAACTGGGAGACATCCCGATGACACCACAGATTTTTCCAGTTGACAAACGCTGACGGAGTTTTGGCGATGCGGAGAGAAACTCTTTTTCCAATAGTGCCACCAGCAGACACGCAGTTGTCCAGGTAAACCAAGCTATCCACCTGGTCAAGCTATGTGCCTTCAAAAGTGAGCATGTGAATGAGTGAGTGCCAATCCTGAGCAGCACCTTACACTTGTACCTCGATCGTCAAACGGTTCCGAATAGTTTGCGTACTCTGCCAGTCGTCGCCAAGTGAGACGATGTGATTAGCGTAATCTAATTTGGTCGCTCGCTTACCCAGGCCAAAATTTTGGTAACCTTCCGGAGCTATCGACATTAAGTCTTCAATCGCCAAATTGGGGGACGGCGACATAGGGCAGTCTGTGGTACACCGCTACTGACAGTCAATGATGGAAAAACCTTGCTATAGACCCCCATTTAGCCGGAGACGTGGAGGTACTGCTCACGGGATGACAGTGTACTTTTCCGTGACGCTGTTCCTTGCCAAGCAATGCCATAGCGCAAGTCGATCAACTGAGTCGAATGTAGTACGGATGTTTAAAAATTCAACGATGGCATGCGTATGGTGGCAGTGTTCGAGGAATTTGGGGAATATGAATATTTGATTCACGCTCCAACGGCCAGGACGGAAGCCAACTTGTTCTTCTCGGTACTGTGATTCACGAAGGGGAGATAGTCTATGGAGAAGAATGGATGCCAATAGCTTGGAGGCAATCGGTGATTGGCGCATGAAGTGCTAGCAATCACTGACTCCGCTCAGGACAAAGGTACCTTTTTTGGAGAATGCTGGGGTTAGCTTGCTAAAAGTTGCTGCACCGCCGTATTTGAACATTTCTGGAGGAATTCCTTCTAAGCCAACAGCCTTGAATCGCTTCAAGTGTCGAACTGCAAGGCATACCTCCGCTTCGCTGGATAGGTCAGGTGTGTTGAGCCAGGGAGGGTAGCTGGGTTCGCAGAGCATACAAGTGTACGATGAGGGTCAATTGAACTTGGAATGAAAACGTTCGGCCCATCGATTTCCGTAGGTTAGCAATCGGTTAACTATCCGCTTTGCAAATATTCTCACTGACACAGGGCTTCCTCTGGCCATCGAATTGAATGAGCTGAAAGAGCTTGTGAATATTCTCAGACAGGGCAGCAACCTCCATTTCTTTAGACCACTGAGACCACTAGGCTTAGCATTCATCGCGCTGACTGAGCTGCGCACTAACGGAATGGCGCACTTCCTTATGATTAGACTTCGCTGGGATATTTCTGCGGCGGTGATATAGATCTAGGGAGCGCATCGACATCCAGGCCCTCATAAGGTACTGAGTAATATTACAGACTGTCTAGATGACATCATGGTCTTCTGCATGAACGTCCACTATTCGCTAGTATCTTGCGGCGGGTCACAGTTAAGTGCATCGTCCAGCAAAGATTGGCAGTTCAGCGGAACCAAGGGAGCAGACATTCTATTTCTATCAGTTGTACAGTGTTTCTCTGTTAGGGACCTTCCGAAACTCATGCAAATGCTCGCACGGACTTGAGCATGATCTGAGTCAAGAAATGTGGATCAGATTGATCTGCAATCTCGCACACTACCCTGCCACCTGAAACTGTTTGACATGTAGTCAATCTGAGACCATAAGTGCCTCGATAAAGGGGAGTGCCAAACAGCGGAACGTCTCCTCGAATGCTTGAAGTTGGTGCTCGAGAGAAGCAGACTCCGCAAACCAGAGTAGGGTGAAGGAAAAACAAAGTGACTTGGAAATTACTGTCAAGTAGCGACAGTGGCTGTTCCGAAGACGAACTAAATTGACTACCATCGGTTTGTACAGCGAATAGTAGGAATGATAGTATAATTTTTGGATGGCGTTCAAAATGGTCTTTCGAATATGTCCACAATAGTTCTTGTAGAACATGAGACGGAAGGAATTCTCCGCTTAGTTTCAAGCGCGGATGACTTCGCGCTTGCGGAAACGCGGTTTGGTGGTGATCCAAGACATGTGGTGTTACGAGAAGCTCTCGTGAATTCAGATCAAATAATGGTACATAGATCCTTGTGAGAATAAATCCGAAGTTTTACATGCTGATGATACAAATAACGCTAGAGGACAGATTTATTTAACCACTCACGAGACGGATCCGTTGTTGTGACATGATTCCCATCCGCTTGCCTTTCGGTCTTATTCCTTCGGATTTACATTGACACATGCGTTTTGTGGCTGTCCCTATGGAGGCCGCAGTGACAGGCAGATCGAAGTCTGTGAATTGTACCCGTTGGGAGCGGGGGGGGGGGGTCGGTGACCGATTATTTAGTTTAAATACCTTTCATTTGGTCAGTTTCCGAACTGGCGCCCAGTGCTCCCCATGTAGTCAACGACGGGCTGTGGGAATAAATGCTCCACCGGAATGATGCAAGTTGGAGTGACTTCATTTAGTGGCGAATCACCTCCGTTACGTCACATGGTGGTTAAACAGACTTTTGTGATTTTCATAACGGGAATGCTTGTCAGGCCTAAACTCTATAGTTTAAAGCAGACTGTCACTGAACTATTTGTTGCATCGGAATTTTCCGGACCCACCCAGGTGATTATACGAGGCAAGCCGGCCATATAAGCGTGTAAAGCGCTCTGATCATTTTTATGTATTTCCGGGGCATAGCTTTCCTAATCAGGCAGTCCTAAAGAACTGTCGGTCCATCGAATCGAAAGCTTCTTTAATGCCATGGATCAATTAGAGTGTGTCATCAATGTACCTGGCGGCGCTCCAACAACTAACGCAAGGTGAAGATGTAAGCAATACAGCCTCGGTTTAGACGCAACGCGGCTGGCTCCTCTCTAATCTGGCTTTCATTGGTTCCATTTGGTCTATGAAGGTTAACAGAGGCAAGCAACTTAGGGGCGATATGGATCAGAATGATACCTCTATGGTTGCCATAGGGCGAACGTGAATCCCCCTGGTTATGGCGCTGGAGTGAGCGATGTACGGAAACTGTCTCACTGACACTACCCCTTACCCTCCACCGATAGCTAAGGTTTTGATCTGAACTGTATGCTTAGAGCTTCTGTTTTGTTCAGGCCACTCCTTCTCATTGTTTCTTTGTTTTGCTAGTAACATTCCGTTACGTATTCTGATATCTGATGAATCAATCAAGGTGCTCTTGGTTCCTAACTTCTAGACCGATAGTCACATCTCCTAACTCGAAGTCAACTTCCTCATACCGCGGTGCACAATTACTCCTAGCATTTATGCAAACGAAGAACTACGACACCCATTATCTCGCTTTTCTCAGCCGGTCCGCTATCACATTCGCTTTCGTTACTTGTTTGTTGATGCGATCACTCGGACCGTCTCACTGTTGTCATCAGTTCTCATCCCTTACACCGTTTTCAAATGCTGACCAGTGCCGCATTACTAAGCCTATTTGATCTATAGCATTGCTTTTTCTCGTATCGGTCCTCATCCTCATCTTTTGTTTATCAAATCTGAATGTATACAGGTGCTCGACTAATGGACAGCCTCAGTCAGCTTGGCTTACGTTTACGAACCACTCTGTAGTAATCCTACAAAGTTGTTGCCCCATCTATAACCATATCATTCTTTTTTCTCTTTAAATACGCACCTTGGGAACACCTAGTTTACATATACTCATGTCTTGTTTAATAATCTCCCTGATTTTGTACTTTCAGCTTTGCATTTTCTACTTAACCGTTTGTGTGGGGGATGTTTGGTATTTTAAAGTTTTTTTTTGCATCCAAGCTCAGCTAAGCAGTCACAGCACATCCGGAAATGTTTTAGAAGACCTTTCCATCATATTGCAACATCAATCGCATGCTGTGGGACCCGAACCCATGATCTTACTTTCACGAATCAGGGAATTAAGACATCGAGCCATGAGTGGCAGCAGCAAACCACCATGACCGATTGCTAGTTACGATAATAGCCCGGTTCATCCACTGCTGCGATCCGCAATGCTACTCCGCGTATGACAGACTGAGTGATACTCCGCTGGCTAATCCGGCAGGTATGACATTAGGAGCCAATTCGGTGAATTACATCTGCCGCGTCGGCATAACCAAATTGTGTTTCTATGATTCCTTGATCTCGGTTATCGGAGAAATTCCTCTTCTATCCATTCTCTCATTTCTGTCTATTTGAAGTCACAGATTTCGGAAGAACCCTATTCCCAGTTCACCACCCTGTCGTCATCAAATTCACATCTGACTGTTACGGGATCAGTGGTACCCACTGAGGTACTGGATTTAACCGAAGAGGAGCAGCTTCAGTTGGCTGTTGAAGCTTCCAAAACGGATGCTGACATTTTTGACTCCGCTACTACTGCTGCTTGTAGCGGCGTACCGCGCTCCAAGAGTATTCAAGTAACCGTTTTCTCCCGTCAAATGTTAATCTTGTGACGCTGTCTTACTTGTCTTTCACATTCCTTTGACCCGTGCGTTGCGCTCGTGTTGGCGACTATCAGTTCGCTGTTTCCCTTGAGGAAAAATGCTTTTTACTCATCCTAGTTTAAGTTAGCGTTCACTTTTTTCAGTACACACCTACTCCACAATACAGTTTCAAACGTCTTTTCCCTGTTTCAGTCCGATTCAGATGGTACGGACGACGTCGAGGAGAACGGAGTGACTATCCTCTCCGACGATGACGGAAGCCCTGATTGCTTTATTTGTGATCCTGACACTGAATTCGGCTCTGGTTTATCGACAACGGCCTTGATTACCTCTCGACGACCGCTACGCTGTGATATCACCACTCGTATACCTTCTCCTATAACTCCAACAAATCGCTTCACGCTTCCCATCGCTAATTCCACTGAAGATGCGGTCGAACTTGTTGTTAGATTACCAACCGGTTCTCGCCAAATTCTCCGGCTGTCTCCAACTTTGACTCTACAGGTATCTGTCAACCCTTTGGGCCACATATATCCTCTTTCACCACATGGTTTTGTACATTTTACCTTACTGTGCTGGCACAGTGCCGATGCATGCAGCACTTGTAACACATCTGTCGCCTCAGCAGGGCTTCATGTAATCTTTATTGTGGTCATTTGAATGGGTGCTTTTCCGTACCTTAAGTCGATCTAGCTTTTGTTCTGAGATCTTTGCGCAGCTGTTATGCACTTGTAACTGGATGTGTGAACAAGCGTGTAAATTTGTTTGTTCGCTAGTCGCTCATTCAACTCATGTTCCTTGGGATCGAGCACGATTTCCATTTCCCCTGACTCGCCCATCCACATAGAGTTACCTTTTGCGTGTTCTCCACACTTCTTGCATGGGCTTTGCAAAGATAATAAATGTGAAAACAGCTTTTCTTCTGCCTCCATCCTTATGAAAATCGGATCCGTTAAATGTCAGCAAGCAGGTCGCCTTGCCAAACTGCTCGCCTGCGATCATGGCTGCCACTAGCTGTTCCCCATACTGGTTGAGTTCCTTCCCCAAACTCTCTATTCGTAACACTACGGTGATTATCAATTACTTCAAATCCAGAGCATCGCGGCTCAAAAGGTGCATTTTACCTTAGTTTTACTTCCACAGCATTACAACATGCATTACAACCAGCGAGGCTTAATGTGATTGTCATCTTCTTTCTTTTGCTCCATATCATCATCTGCCTTGGATGCTTTATTTCCATGTGATCTTGCGGCTGTGGCTTTCTAATCAGTGCTTTTATCAGAGCCACATTTTGTGAGTCACTGCGACTTTATTTGGCTCACTTCTCTTTCACAAACTCAGTTGCCCACTCTTCTGTTCTCATCGGCCACAATCTCCCACTTTTTGATTAGGTCCAAGTTGTTTTGTCTGTTAACTATCTTATCGATCGAAGCTTTTTGAGCCATCTTGTTTCGTGCTGCTAGAGATGAGCCGTTGCTCCATTGGTATATCCTCACCAAAGGCTTATAGGGGTCTTTCCTCCACTTTCCCTTATCCCTAGTCCATGGATCGGGATATCTTGTCTCTTGATAGACAGTGTCGCCTATCATATTGGCGATAAAGATGAATTACGAAATTTTATATCAAACAGTACATATTCTTTAGTGGTCAATTTATTCTTACGCTGTTAGTTAAGGGTATACGTTTTTGGTAAGTTTTAATGCTCATTTCTGCGGAAAGCATCCCTAGTATTTTAACATTTAGCATCAAATTAATCACCTTGTACCGGCTGATCAGGCCACACAGTTGGACCTTGCTTCGCACCGTCGAGGGACAACCCGTTTGTTTATTTATTTTACGCACCTACTTCAATGGGGGAATTGCTTTCTCGGTATTTGTTTTGTTTCCTTGTTCCTCTGCTTTGGACTGCAAAGTTCACTGCTATCCACAGTATGTCGCTCGCATGAGCCGTAGCTCCGACCACTCAAATTCGCTTTATGCGCGAATGCATCACAAGAGTTCCTTTCTGTCATTACATGGCTATTTACACTATTTTGAAGCTTGAACCTCTATCTGTCTACCAATAACATCACTCATGATGGATGTGTTTAACTGGTCCAGCAGAAACCTAATCACCTCACTTGTGTACACTTGTCGGCTGCTACTTCTTTTGTGCGTTGGATAGTTGTGTTAATCTTTTCGTGTCGATACAGTTGATTATTCAAACGTTTTAGACGTTCGTATTGCCTGCGCTTTTTATTTGATCTTGCCTACCCTGTTTTCTTCTAGAATCTTCGAAGACATTTTGAATCTTGTGGCTTTCCAGACCGTCAGTACGAGATTGTTCGCCTTTATCCACACATCAACCTCTCAGCACTTCCAGGACATACCACACTTCGGGACACTGGTCTGGCCAAGAAAGACACAATCTTTCTTCAGGATCGCTGTTGAGCTGCTCGACCAAGCCCCACGGCATCGATTTTCCCATTGCCTATCACTCTTCCAAATGAAATGGCACCCTCAGGCTAGATGTTTCCTCTCTTTCTTCTTCAATGGACCTTCTTTTCTTGATAGGCATGGTCATATTCGGTGCACTTCCCACCTGTGTGTGGATATCGGCATTCGCTATCTGGCTACCTGCAATCCCTGACTCTGTACAAATTTTTATTCCTTTTATTGTGTCATCTCCTTTGATCTTCTTCCCACAGTTTCTGCAAACTCACCATCATCTTTACGGATGCCGTTTACCTATTTCACCACGATCAGAATTATCTTGCTTGCCGTTCTGACTGGATGTACTTGTTCAGTACAGCAAAACCAGTGTTTCATTGTAATGCGTCTTTTGGTCTCATCCAACACCCATGGTGCCAGTTCTTATTCCTACATGGAGTTCGTCCATTATCCATAAACTAGTCTGAGTTCTCTGTCTTTGCGCACGGTGTGTGATCTTTAGTACGCCCAATTACACCTGCCGTTGTGCTTGGTATGGTAAATGAGAAACCGTCGTGCTTTTGTTTTAACCAGGATAGCGGCGAGCCGAATGACCATCTGTATCCTGTTTCTCTCAACTGCCTGGAGTTCACCAAACACTCCGATGCCATTTATTATGACTTTCCATCCAAAATCGGGACACTGGAAGCCTACGTCCTTGTTTGCATGTTCGTCACAACTCTCTCAAGCGAACAGCTTTTACGCCTTGTCCGGCCTTTGTACATATTAGGTTTTTTACTTGCATTGCACTCGCTTGCTCACCGAAGCATCCCAATACCATGTAGTCTATTTATGATTCACCCCTTGCTTTTAACATATAGTTCTTGCTCACTAGTATGGTGTTGATTTGTTTTCGTTCGCTTTTTTACGCTACTATCCCATCGAAACAGCGGTCCATTTGGGTCATGTTGTTTACTGTCCTTCATTCACTTTCTGATTTGTCTGCATGATCTGGTTGATATGTGATTTCATCTGTCGACTCACTTCTTTCGTCCTCGTGACACAATAAACTGGTGTATTCCCTTCTTTCAGCTTACACTCGCGGTACAGCCATACACTGTGGCAGCGACAGCAGTGTGACGCATGAGTTTTGTCATGTCGACTTCGACGTTTGTGAAGACTACAATGGTCCTCTTGGAAAGCACAGCCGGCACTGGATATCGCATCGTGGGATTTCGGACGAAATTAGCCAACACTCGCAAAGAGAAGATCTCCTTTGACCCCCTGGTTCAGCGAAACGTGCTGTTCCGTGAAGTGCGCAAAATCCGTTCACTGAGAAAGGCCTCAATTTAAGCAAGCTGCATATACGAACGATTCTGCTGTCTGTAATTTACCTTGTTTTATTCAATCATTGCATTTTTCCAGTATTACAACACCTGTTCACACTCCTTACTCTTCTCGCTTCTTATTTCATAGTGTGTATGTGTGTGTGGCATGATCAATTGCACTACATCCCCATTGTCCGCTGTAGTGCGATGCTGTATTCAACCGTAGCTTCTTGCGTGATAGTGGACGGCGTTTGCTGTTCGCCTCTATCTCTAAATGTGGACCTTTTTTGTTCTATACGCAACGCTGTTTGTTTGGTGCTGAGGCATTGCAGCCTGTTAGAAGGACTCACGCACACTAGTCGTTGACAGCTGACAGTTCCGCCAACTGTTGTCTGTTTTTCTCACGTTATCGACTGCTTGACCTATTGATTTTTTGCTGTACTCTGTTCGTTCATACATGTTAGTTTTCAAGACAGCTCGTCCACATGCGATGCGCTTTTGTTTCCGTTCTAAGCGATTTGCAGTTAGCTGTGTCAGGCATAATAATTGACGATGAGGTACCACAGAATTGCGATTTACAAGTCATGACGGTTCCTTTGGAATTTTTTCAAGAAATGCTGTCTTGCTATAAAGCACAGTTCGTAGCTTTACAGCAACATTTACTTGAAGCATTAACAACACGAATGTTGAATTCAGCACCTACAGACGTAACGGTTTCTATCACAGACAAGCTGGCGCACAGTGTGACCATTTCATCACTAGCCGAATGATGAATCATAGTTTCGCGGCTATGAAGACTTGTTAAAAATTGATAGGAGTGGACTAGACGATGCAGCTCATTTGCGTCTCCTTTTAAGGCAATTTGGCCCACAAGAGTATGAAAAGTACTCGAATTTCATTCTACCCAAGAATCCACGAGATTTATCCTTGGACGAGACTGCGAAACACTTGACCAGGATTTCAGGTCCTAAAACGTCACTTTTCAACGCAGTTTTCCGATTTTTTTCAAATTATTAACCATCAGGATGATTGTGTGACTTATGAGACTGTCCTTAACGAAGAATGTGAGCGTTTTCATCTTAACACGAACATGAGGGCTCAGTATAATGTGCTTATTTTTGTATTTGAATGGCGTTCTCCAAAAAATGCAGATATTCGAACAAGTTTGTTATATAGGATGAAGTCTAGTCCAGAAGTCTCACTACAGGAGCTCATACAGGAATGTGAACATATGTTGTTGCTGGTGCATGACCCAAAAGTGATCTAACGGAGCAGCGGGTCTTAGGTGGTGGATATTCATTCCATTCCTACATACCCCAGGTTATCGCCTAACTCAGTCCATCTCTGCGGATTTGCGTACCGAAGCCGCCCGTCTAGTGCTTGTTGCCACTGTAGTCAGTGGTATTTCCTTCGATTTTGTGGATTCAGACGATATGTTTGCTAGCGCTGTCAGAATATGGGACATAGGAAAACCAGATGTTTCCAGGGCGTATCCGGATGACAGTCACAAAACTTCACCAGAAACCTCAAGTTTTTGACGTTATCTTTCAAATGTGCTGTTTGCAATCACCAGCCCGAATTATCGGTCACTGTGGAAGTATGTTATGTTTATGGTAAATGGTTTCTGTTCCGCTTCAATTGACAAGCTGTGTTGGGTATTTTCTCTTTTCCATTGTCTTGCGATACGTTAGCTAAGGTTTTTACCACCTATAGCTAATGTGTGTAATGAATGGATGAATATTGCTTCCGATATTACAATAATCTCTTCTTTGAGATGGAGCATACTCGTTAACCCCATGTGTGTTCAAACTTCACTTGTCGCTCTTGACGCTTCTCCTATCGAATTACCTTCTCATGGACTGTGCAACTGTGAGTTCGCATTTCGGTTTGCATGCTAATGCTGTTTGTTACACGTTATGGGCATTGATTGGATAGACAAACTTAATATATGGAACATGTCTTTGAACAGTATTTGTGATAACCCGGATACTTTTTCACTGTACCCAACCGATTTTCAGTGTTCGGTTTCACCAGTAATTTTTAAAAGCAACGCGGAAGCTTTATCATACTTAGCGTCAATGTACCCGAATGTTTCTGTAGAGGGTCTCGGAATGTGTTCTAAGATCATTGCTGTGTCGTATCCGCGTACCCGTATACTCCAAGTATCTTGTCTAAAGCGACCCGTACCATACGCGGCTGTTGAGGCAGTAGATGCCGAAATTAATGGACTGGACTTCATGAGTCACATAAGATCTGTGACCTGCTCATCGTGGACGCTCCTATTGTAGTCATCAGAAAGGTTAATGTCACTTTGCGTATTTGTGCTGATATTTTCATGGGATTAAATAACGCAATGGAAACACGTCAATATCTCTTACTGGTTCCGGAGGTTTTTTTAATAAAGCTTAATGGAGGAGAGCTTTTTTCCAAAATTACCCTTTTCGATGCGTACTCGCAAGTAGTCATGGAGGAGCACTCATAAGAAATGATCATTGTCAATACACACAGAGTCCATTACCATTACATTCGGTCACTAGCGATATTTCAGCAACGGATGGACGCTATGCTATCCGGATTGAAGTGTGTCATGACTTATTTAGATGAAATAATCATCGCAAGCTCCACCACTGAAGATCGTTACACCCAAATGAAGGAAGTCTTCTTCTGGATGGATTCATATGGATTTCGTATACGTTCAGAGAAGTGCGGACTTACTATGCCCAGTATCACCTACCCTGGATCCGTTATCCACAGTTTCGTCGTCGGCCAGTCCCGAAGAAAGTAAATACCATCAAATTAATGCCACCTCCCACAAACAAAGCTTCTTTGCTATCTTTCTTGGTTATAAGTAACCAGTATCGAAACTTTGTCCCGCAGATGCACGAACTCCGAGCCCCACTAAAATGCACACTCCATCGCAATGAGGCTGGACCTTACCGTGGTGCGATGGTTTGTGTGCCTCAGTGATCCATTGAGCTATACTGGGTGGTGCTTTTGCACCTTCAAAGCCACTCATACCAGATTGGTCAATGGTTAGAGGCCAGACAAACTCAGCCTCCTGGTCCTCCAGGTTGGGGGTTGGAATGAGGGTGGCACCTTATTCCTTAAAACGGACTCCTTGTAGTCCAGTGCCAAACCCACTGCCTTGCGGCCAGGTTTTTGAATCAAAGGCTTTGGTTGAGAACCCTAATTGTTCTCCTGTCTAGGCCTGGGCAACCTGATAGTATCCTGCCCACGCAATACTATGAATCCTTCCCCAAACAAATTTCTGATGCTCTGGCCACCGCAGAGGATAATCAACGGTGCCCTATCTGCTGCATCAAGCAGGGTGGATAGGGGTTTGGATGCTACTGCTCAAGCCTTTCCATCTTCTTATTCCCCTTCTTGCGCGTTTTCACCCTTATCGTCCCGTTCCAGCTTCACTTTTATCCCCCTGTTTTCAACCCCCCAATTCTCGGCCCTCCCCCACCTTGCTTCAATAGTCGCTTGTCTTTTAGTTTCGACTCACAGGTGAACGCAGGGCGTCATTCCTGCACTGTCAACAGGCCCATGTCCAAGCAAACGGTCAAACCCAGTTCATCGGCTTCCATTTGGAGCCCTCGATCCTCCTTTAGACTGGCATGCCTCAATGTTCGCACATTGCTTCAGATCGGTCAACAGGCAGCACTTGCCCGAACATTAGAGACTCTCTCGATCGATATCTGCTGCTTATCGGAGACCCGCCTGCAAGACCCGAGCTCTGTACTCACTCTGCGATCTCCTTCAGGTGACACTAGCAGCACTTTCTCGTTGCGCCTACCCGGTGACGATGCAGCTTCGAGCACCGGCCAAGCCGGTGTTTGGTATTGCCCTGAGTCCCCGGGCTGAAGCTGCTCTGGTTGATTGGATTCCAATCAGCAACCGGATGTATGCGGTCCAATTGGCTGGCTCGTTCAAAACTTCGAAGTCGAGTGGGACTAACAGGTGTCTATTCGTTATCGCTGCCTATGCACCGACAAACTGTAGCGATGACTCGGTAAAAGACGACTTCTATCGACAACTGACTCAGCTCCTTCGCCACAGAAGAAGCTCGGACACTGTAGTGCTGGCTGGGGATCTGAACGCTCAAGTTGGAAAATTATCCACAGATGAGCTGCATCTGGGCGGCCAACATGGTGTAGGCTCCCGTAATGATAACGGTGAGCGGTTACTTCATTTGTGTGAGGATGCTCGCTTATTTCTTGCGAGCGCTAATTTCCGACACAGCACCCGCCGGACGGTGACTTGGCGCCCACCAGCCTCGAACCAGCTATGGACGCAAATCGATCACATTGCTATCAGTTACCGCTGGAGAGGCTGCGTCCATAACTGTCGCTCGATTTGGAGCACAGGTGTTGACACCGATCATGCACTTGTATGTGCTGACCTGCGGATGCGCTTTGGCGGACGCCCACCACGACGTTGTGAGCGCATTGACACCGGCAGACTGGTGAATCCAGCTGTTCTGAACGCCTATCAAATTACGCTGTCATCCGAGTTGGATAAACGCTCACTGGATGCAATTGAAGCTCACTGGTCTCATATGCAACAGGCCTTACTAGCAGCAGGCAAATCCTCATGTGGTATGTCTAATCGCCAACATGAACATTGGGTCTCTTCACAGTCTTTGGAACTTATAGATGCTCGCCGGCATATTCCGGCTGGAAGCGAACACAATGAAACTCGCAAAGAGCTCCGGGCGAAATTCCGTGCTAGCCTGAAGAGAGACTGCGAATCCTGGTGGTCTCGTCGTGCAACAGAGATGGAAATGGCCGCTGCCCTGGGTGACCATCGTGAGTTATTCCGTCTTATACGGGAAACGGGCAGCAGGAGACCTGGTGTTAGTGAAACAATCTGTGACGAGAGTGGACAGCCTATCCACAACTTATCAAAACGCCTGAAACGTTGGGCTGAGCACTTTGAAAGGCAATTTAATCGGTCGGAATTGTTAGATTTCTCGCCGACTAGTGATCGCCCTGCTCCGTGGGCTGTTCCTTTGGATCCACCCTCTCGCTCAGAAGTCGAACATGAGATCGGACTGTTGAAGTTGAACAAAGCCGCGGGACCTGATGACCTTCTTCCAGCCCTCTTCAAATTCGGGGGGCCTGCTCTTGTGGATGATTTACACGAGTTACTAGTGAAACTGTGGGAGCAGGAGACTGTCCCAACCGATTGGAACCGCTCCATCATAGTCCCAATTTTCAAAGGAGGCTCACGATCGGAATGCGGCAGCCATAGAGGAATCAGTCTGATCTCCATCGCCTCCAAATTGCTTGCCTCTGTCATCCTTCACAGACTGACTGGCACTCGTGAAAGCCAGATTCGTGAAGAGCAAGCTGGATTTCGCCGAGGTCGTGGCTGCATTGACCACATCTTCACCTTGCGTCAGTTGTTGGAGCACCGTCACATATATTGGCGGCCCACCGTTGTCGTGTTCCTCGATATCAAAGGTGCATTCGATTCGGTGGATA